ACAAACAACAAGCACTGCCGTGCCAGGTCAAGTTTACCTAAAACTCCTGTTTACTCTCCCTGTCTATAATAAACAACCAAATAAACATACCGAAAGAACAATAGAACATTTCTCTCCTGCCGAGGACTCCGTTCAGGTGTTGCTTGCCAAATTTTCAAATACCACGTAGCACTCCAAGAAACAGGACTGTTTGGACCACACAACAAATCTGTTTAAAGCCTCATGTCCTGTTACCCCTCTTGTCATAAATCCATCTGCACAAAAATTATCCACCGCAGAGTCCTCGTCGTGAACACAGGGAACTGTCACTGAACTGTTCGTGTTCATTCGTTCAAATGACTAATTTTAGAAATTCAACAAACACTGCTCAAACACAGAAATAGGGTGGATTAACATGATTAACCTTTTGTTTGCATGCAATTCCCCTATAACTGGAAGAAAATTAGCACGATTGCCCAGGAAAATTTCCCTTCATTGTTTACTGTTATGCGAGTCTCACATGAAACGGATTTCAACTACCAGATAACATTATCCTGATTTCAGAAATATGTGCTGCATGTGTCACTGACATTTCCTCTCGACGGACGATCCACACGGCAAACAGATTACTGAATGAACACTCTCGACTCACGAGAGGTGAAGCCAGTAATTCTGTTGTTAATATCAATATTACATCACTTCCTCCTTGGGTTTCCCCACAACGCTTCAATATGAAAACACCCCTGAATTCTGCAACTAAAATACCCTCTTGACTATGTTAAGATTTCTACCTGGTAAACAGTGGTTACCGGGTATCTATTGATCAATAAACATAGCTTGTCTGTTATTGATTGTGATAACTATCAGTGTTAGAAATTGGCACTAGTCCTTTAGTCCTTGCCAAACTGCCCAATAGATAAGGTATCATGAGGACTCGTAGAAACTTGCCCTTTTTAAGGGTTTTGCTAAAAGTTATTATAAATACTAGTGGTCTAAAACTGTTAGTTGGTTACACAATTTACATTTTTCATGACAATTTTTGAACATTTTAGTGTAGCCTTATCGTGCTTATAAAACTATGATCTTAACAACATATTGAAACCTTAGTGTAAAATATTTGTCACTTTTAGCTGCTCGGTCTACTTTGAATTGATATATATCACTTTACCACTGTTGATTGTCCAAGATAAGCTATGTATGTTGTGTTATATAGGTCAACACATACACTTGAACATACCTGTATTGAACCATGGAATGGAGGCCTGCTGAGAGACTGTTTCACTGAGACACAGGCTAGGGACAATGTCCTCAGGTATGTGAACGTGACACTATATATGTCGCAATGCTTTGTTCACTTTAGAATCATCATGCATGTCATGGTACACAGTTCTGGACAATACTTGTGAGAGTGTATTCTAACTTTGATATAATCATGATAAGAGACGAAAACAATCTTAGAAATGGCCTGTCATTTTAACATTTTAACCCTAATCATGGTTTGAAAAGGGGCACGGGTGGTGCCCTGATTCACTGTGTAGAGCTGCGTCCCTTGGACACGCCGGAAACCTATGATTGTGGGTTCGAATCCTGGTTCGCCCTGATTAGGTTTGTCAGCACCATACCCGTGCTCGTGGGTTTCATTGAAGTGGTAAACGTCTGAGACCTGCATAACTTAACTGGAATATTGTTAAAACCAGCATTAAATCCAACTCACTCACTCACTCACTCATGGTTTGAAAATAACATGAACCAGGTAGGTCGAGGACAAGTAAATTCAGGAAGAACTAGTGACATTTGTATATGGACTTTAACCATTAAGTAGATGGTACACAGGACTTGTGAAAATAACAGTGTTCAAAATTAAGAAAAATAAATCAAGGAATAGTTCTCATGACCAGGATAACCTTAACATGTCTAGTGTTACAGATTGTAATCAGGAGTTATAGCATTAGGTAGATTTCTCATAACCAGGATAACCCTCACATGCCTGGTGTTAGGAATTGCAGTGAGTGAGTTGGGTTTAACGCCGCTTTTAACAGTATTCCAGTTATATAACGGCGTGTCAGCTTAACGTGGGAGGAAAGGCTGAAGTGATGCAGGTCTCAGACATTTACCACTTCGGTGAAACCAACGAGCAAGGGTATGGTGTTGACAAACCTAGAAACATAATTGTGGCCAACCGCGATTCGAACCCACAATCATAGGTTTCTGTCGTGCCCAAGGGACGTAACACTGCACAGCGAATCGTGGCGCCTTAGACGACTGGGCCACCCGTGCCCCCTAGGAATTACAGATGTAGGGCATGTAATGTCACTAGCTTCGAACACTTAAAGAACCAATCTCAGAGACCCTAGGACACCCATTAACATGAACAGTGATGAAGACTTTCCAACACACAGGTGAGCAGATTTACAGTAAAGCCAAAATGTTGATCAGCTGTAGACTATTTATCATGTTTATACAGATATTATATATAATTTATAGCAGCACATATTGATACAAAATTTAGCATATCACCTCATTGTAGAATCTCATATCCTAGTTGGCGTGAGACCCTGTATTCTTATAACATATCTATGATACTTGTTACCATTGTTATAAAACAGTGTGAGTGAGTGAGTTGGGTTTAACGCCGCTTTTAACAGTATTCTAGTCATATTGCGGCATGTCAGCTTAATGTGGGAGGAAAGCCCGAAGTGATGTCAGGTCTCAGACGTATACCACTTTGGTGAAACCCACGAGCACGGGTATGGTGCTGACAAACCTAGAAACATAATTGGGGCAAACCGTGATTCAAACCCACAATCATAGGTTTCTGGCGTGCCCAAGGGACACAACTCTGCACAGTGAATCGCGGCACCTTAGACAACTGGGCCACCCGTGCCCCCATAAAAAATTGTGATAGTGGTTATGATACTGAATGTTGTTTATAATATTTATTGTTTCTGCGCAGCATACAAGAAAAATAACTTCACTAAACCTGACATCTATCATCATGATCATAAAGTTAGCATGATAGCATCCTTTGATCAAATCTGCATATTTCTGACACTGCCTTAAACATAAAAACAACAAAATTGTGAACAACATCACACTCTATTTGTAAACAGGTAAAGTGACACAAACATGAAAAAAAATCTATAATTCGCATGATAATATGACATCAAATCATTGTCAAATCAGAGGTTAAGAAATATGCAAGTAACTGACTCCCATTACCTTGGTCGCGGTAACATTATGACAAGCATCAGAGCATAGAAGGATCTGTATCCGTGTCAAAAGAATTCCACATACCTCAGGGTAGAATAGGGTCCCATGAGGCCCATTAAACCCAGGCTTGTGAAAAAAGGAAACTGTGCTAGACTTGGGGTTTGAGATGAGGTTAAATGGGGTTGAACATCACGTTCAAGGTTATTCCACTTACATAGCAACGTACATGCATATGTGTGGCGTGGCATGTAATCCTGGTAATGGTACACCAAACATGCTCAAATGATTATTTATCCCCTCAATGAATCCCTCCTTCTCAAGGTAGTCCTACAAAATGCAGCCAGAGAACTCTCAAGCAATGGTTGCCAACCATGCAAACAATAACAAAACTTTGAATCAATAAAAACATATGAAAAGAGCCATGTTCAACATGTACAAGTGTAACAATGAAACTACCATGCTTACATTGTCCTTTTCATTTGCTTGTTTTTCACTTTGGAAATTATTACATATTTAAAATTAAACGCACCAACAAACTTGCAAGCTTTTGATAAACACTTTAGAAAGAAACTGAAATGTGTACCTGATATATATCCTCCTTTTTTACTGTTTTCATCAATTAATACAAGGAAGGAGTGAGTGAGTGAGTGAGTATGGTTTAACGCCGCTTTTAGCAATATTCCAGCAATATCACGGCGGGGGACACCACAAATGGGCTTCACACATTGTACCCATGTCGGGAATCGAACCCGGGTCTTCGGCGTGACGAGCGAACGATACAAGGAAGGAAACATGTACCAGCACAGTCACGTGCCAGCGTGGAGACTGTATGCTAATCATGCTAATGGGGCTTGATAGGTTGAAGGTTTTCAGCCAGATTTTGTATTCAGACCAATTTTTTTTATTTCCAGGCTTACAGCTTTTTAGATCTATTAGGAAAGTAGGACAGATAGGCCGCAAAGGTTTATGTTTTTGCTCCTTTGTCCTTATGTTATTTTGCCTGTATCCTTTAGCATCCTCGAACATCAAGTGTACCACATCTCTATTCTATTATCATGATTATCATGACTACGAAATATACCCTGGACCCATTCATCACCAGTGTGTCCTTTCAGAAGTGACCTCACCAGCTCCATCTGTAGTATCACTAATTTTTACCAAAATTTCTCTCGCTCATGAGCTTGAAATAAACAAGCAATCAAAATGCCTCTACTGTGTGCAAGTTCAGCATAGTTCTACATTCAAAATTCAAAACTGTTGCCTCAAGATGTCTATAATCAGAAAAGATATGTGAACTCTTAGTAGGAAAGATGTTTCCTGAGAATGAATATGTTAGGTACCGGTAGATGTCACCTTATGAAAGAGCAAGAAGTAGCTCTGAAACGTCATGACAAAGAATAAAAGAAGTTGCTATCCATTAAAAGTGCCTGATAAATATTGTTCCAAAAGGCTAATGCTCATATTGAGGCTATTGCATAGTTGAAAAAATAACTGGGCGGCAAGCATGGTAAACATGGTAAAGGGATCCTGGTTTGTTTTTGCGAAAGTAGTTTAATCTGCAATGATCTACAATTATCTAGAGTCCCAAATCTCTGAGGGACACTTTCATTCTTAATTTCAAAATTGTAATAGCCATAGGAACTAATACTATGATTATAATGAGGATTGGGTTATAGGGGTAAGATGACATACAAATACATCCAGGCAACTGATGGTCACTCAGATGGTCATTCATTTAAGTAAATTTCTCTGAAAAGAAAAAACCCACACCACCAATTGTAATTTAAGAACAAAACCAAATTTCAACTTACCCTGTGATGTATCCTTTTCAGGACTGAAGGACATGAGGTCAGACGGTGGAGGTCGAGGTGGAGGCCTCCGGGGTGCATTGGGCATTGATGGCCTTACAGGAGTGGGTCTAGTTGGCATCTTTGGTGGGCCTTTGGGCACTGGAGGAGCAGGTCTAAGAGGGATCGGGTGTGGTTTTGATGATCCTGCAGACATAGGAGGTGCCTTGACTGGTTGAGCAGGTCGGGGTGCCGAGGGTCTTGGTGGTGGAGCTCGGAGTGGAGGTAGTCTGGTCTTCGATTTGGATCCTTTGACAGAAGGCACAGGAGGTGGAGGACGAGCTGGGAGGCTCATATGAAGTGTATGTGGATCATCATGATCCTTCACAAACGCACTGTTTATGAACCCATTGGCATCTTTGGGCTTGGGTGATTGTGCAGGAGGTAAGTCCGTACTGAACTGATAAGAATTGGCACTAACCTGAACACTTTGATCATTAGGTTGCTGAGACACATCGCTGTACTGACTGATAACACTGGTATTGCCTTCATGTTGATCAAGACTGGCTATATCTTCAAAAGCTTCACTTCCAGGCCTTGAAGACCTATCAGAGACCATGCTATTAGGTCGGGACCTTTGGGCTTTGGACTCTTGGGGAAATGAATTCAGGGAGTCCTGTTTCTTGAAGCTCCCAGTTGAAGAGTTGGATCCACTGCTTTTGATGCTGGAGCTTCTAGACCTGTTTATTTCCCCTGGTTCTGTTTTAGCACTCCTCAACTGTTCTTCTATCAGAGAGTTGAGAGACTTGGATGTATTGATTCCTTTGAACACACTCTTCTCTGTAGGAGATGAGACATGCCCTACACTTAAACTGGAGGACATTCCTGAGGGTTTTGTGAAAGGTTTAGGTGTTAACACAAGTGGCTTGGGTTTTATCACAGGTTTAGGTGCCAACTTTGGCTTAACTGCAGGTTTAGGTTTTAACCTGGGTTTTTCAGTTACAGGCTGTGGTGCTGAAAATTCTTCATCAGCTCTACCTATTTTCAATTTTTCAACATCTTGCTCATGATTATTATTTTCCAGTGTCTTTACACAAGATGTATCACGATTCGAACTGACACCATTTTCCTTATGAATGGGCACAACTGGTTCACTAGTTTGTATCACATTGTCAACATCAGATGGTAAATGGCGGGGTCCTTCTCCAATCACCTGTACATGATTTAAAGGCACAAGACCAATATGCCCACTCTCATCTCGAGCTTGAATCCAATTTCCATCTAAAACTTGAACAACTATCACAGTATCACCCTCAGAGACTTTCAAATCCCCATCCACTTCTCCTTCAAAGTTATGCAGGACCAAACCAAGCTGATCACTGTCTGTGCTTCCTATGCTGCTGCTCTCAGCCACATCTGAAGATGCTTCTACAGGAGCTGCTGATGATTCGGAAGGAGCTGAATATGGCTGAGTTGGAGCTGATAGGTCTGGCTGAACTTGTCCAAAGTCCTGGCTCTGTTCTGTTTCAGCATAAGGACAGTCCACAATGATTTCAACATATCCAGCAGGGAAGAGTGCTATTCGGCCATCCAACTCACCCTCAATCCACTCTGAATCAACATGCTGGATGAGAGTGACTATTTCATTGGCTCCGAATGACAGTTCATCCTGAGACTGGCCCTGGAAAGGGTAGATTGTCCGAGCATAGGGTGTGATCTCTGTGTCATACGATCGGGTGTTCTCACTTGAGAACGATGAGACATTTAGTTGGTTTGCTTGAGAACTTTCACCACCCAAGGCACTGGAACTCCGGTTTTCCTGAACATGATTCTCCGTTGCATGACCAGCATTTGACTTTGATATTTCAACATCTTCTAAAAGCTCAACACAAACAGAAGAGACCAGCCCTTCTTTACCACCAAACTGTCCCATGTACCAATCAGAGTCAATAATCTCGGAGATGGTTATAACATCCCCAATTCCGAACCCAAGTTCCCCATCTATCTGGGGAGTGATGTCCACCAATGCTCTGGCACAGATGGGTTCTGATAATGAACCACATCGTTGACTTGACTGATGGTCAGCTTTAGAGAGAGTATCACCTCCAACCAGCTCTGCGACACAGGTGAGAGGAAAGATCCCTGTGTTACTTCCACAGCTTCCCTGCCACCAGTTGTCATCCAGCTGCTGCAACCCCACAATGATGTCCCCTGTCGGGAAAGACACATGCAGATATGAAGCAGATGTTTTCTCTTGAAAAGTAGAGTTGATGAGGCCAAACCAATCTCACTTGTTTCATTTATGTCCTTCATTTTTTTCAGTGAGTCAACGAAAAAAAATGCTATCAAATTTCGAGGTTTTATCACATTAATCCATTTGGCCCACCATCGTGTACTGCTGTATTAAAAGCTTAAAAAATTTATGTCCAACAGAATCCAGTACACTGCATGTGTACCCAATATTTGATTCAGGGGAGCAAAATAGATAAAATACTTTAGCAAATAGCAAACACAGGCTGAATTCAAAACATAAAAACTCAAAGAATAACATGGATGTTGACTGCAGGAAGCCTATGTTTGTCACTCACCTCTGTTAATTCCCAAGTCTCCATCCTGACCAGCCCGGAACTCGTCTACACCAGCAAATATCTTCTGACCCGGCTGTACACTGGGCAGTGTGATACTTTCAACAAAATTGGAGGGAAAGATTCCTTCTCCGCCACTCAGTCGACCTCGCAGCCAGTTGTCATCCACAACTTCTGTGATCTGGATAATGTCCCCTGTCAGAAGAGTTATCTCCCCCTTCTTGGAGGTTTCAAAGTCATAGAGGACCCTCACATGTTGTCCAATGGAGGGCCTCATCTAAAAACAATGAAAGAAGTACTTTAGTATCTCTGGCTGAGTCCTACATCAAACTGTTCATTTAACCGTCTTACAGTTCAATACCATAACATACTAATGTCATTTGTAGATTGTGAACCAAATGATTTTGTTGGGTGGGTTTGGGTTTTCAAAAACATGTTCTCCTGATAAAATAAGCCATGCACAACATAGAGAAAAAGTGGCGATAATGGACCATTACTGATTATGGTTCATAATATCAAGAGCCCCTATGGGGAGTCTTGGTCAGAAAATGTCTCAGCATCTCATACTTGTCAGAAGAGTCAGCTAACATTGGGATCAGGCCAGGCTTTATCATGTTTGTGACTGAATAGCTTGTAGGAAAAATGCCAACTCACCATCAAGCCAAATACAGTCTGCCATAATATTGAAATGTATACTTTGTACTGAATCTTTAGTTGGGCAGTTGTCAAAGAAACAAGTCAATTTCATTGTCCACGCAATCCCAATTTGGATAATCTAATGACCCAACCATATCATTTTAAATCTGTCACAATAGTGTAAACAACAAAGCTCACACAAGACAGCTAACACTATCGGCTATTATCAGCCAGATTGTGACAATCAGCGCTATTGTTACAACTAGTAAGGAACTGATGATTGAGATACCTCACTGTCACAAAACATTCAATAAGTGTATTGTTCAGTGTGCTCGGTGGTAGGGCACAAATTTACTACCTGGGTACCCGACCCCTATTACCCAACCATACCCGGGTACCCATTGCAAGTCTCAAGACTAGGGAACAAAATGTCTGATTGGTAATTGTTTTACCGCAGCCCAGGTTAAAACTGTTTAGATACATGTATCAAACAATCAGATCATGCGTTCACTGAAGTTGACTGAAGCTTTATCTTTACTCAACATTTACAAGTCAAAAAGAAATGTTAACATTAGCCACTTGTAGTGTAACCACTGAGCTATAGTAAGTTTTTGTCATTAAACAATATATCACGTGACTAACCATGGGTCCGGGTAGTCCTGTGGGTACCCGGGTCCTACTCAGGACCCACCGACCCGAATACCCGAGTTACCTGTCCCAGCCCTTAGTAACTCAGTGGTATCATATTCACATAAATACATCCTAAATAATAAAATACCTTAGATTTAACAATCACAACATCAGTTTCGACATAGGGTACACAAAACTAGACTCATCTACAGAGTACAAACTGATAAGATTCAATTCAAAATGGAGGACAGGTATGTTTGCATGTTACAAATCCAGACACAGCAAAACCTCATAAGTCCGGAACCCACTTAGATGATCTTGAAAGTCTAAACAACCAGAGGAACATTTCTCCATACCCATGATTCATTGATCAGGTAATTAATGTGGATGATTTCACTGAGAATGGTACCTGTTGGATTACTGAGGTAAAACAAACATAGCCTTGGTTAATTTCCCAGCCTACAAACACAATAAACATGGTACATCACAAGTAACATCTGCCTTTCAGTGAGTGAGTTTGGTTTAACGCCGCATTTAACAGTATTCCAGTTATATTGCGTCGTGTCAGCTTAATGTGGGAGGAAAGCCCGAAGTGATACAGGTCTCAGACGTTTACCACTTCGGTGAAACCCACGAGCACGGGTATGGTGCTGACAAACCTAGAAACATAATTGGGGCGAACCGGGATTCGAACCCACAATCATAGGTTTCTGGCGTGACCAAGGGACGCAACTCTGCACAGTGAATCGCGGCGCTTCAGACGACTGAGCCACCCGTGCCCCCTATCTGCCTTTCATATATCCCTAGGTCCCATTCAAACTCAAATGTTACCATAGTCACAAAACTGTCACAGTTCCAAATGAAACTTTTGGTATCATGACATACACTCAAAAACACTCCCCAAAATTAACATGCTGAAAACACCCAACTTTTTGTCTCCAAACCACACTTACCAAAGCACTGATTACACCATAGTTATAGATTGTCTTCAAATAGGATATATTTTATTAATAAGAAATATTTTGTACTGCAGTTAGCATGATCATAATGATTAGCATGTGTAATTTCAATTTGTAACAAAACATTACTCAATGATAACGATATACACATGATACACTCTGCAACCCATTGCTGTAACGATATGCAGTGTTGTATCCTGACCCAAGGCCCATGATGCAATACATTGATTAGAAATTAGGGCTGTTACGGGTAACTCGGGCACTCGGGTCGGGTGGTTAGTCTCGTGATATATTGTTTCATGACAAAACTTCGCTATATAATTAAATGGTTGCACAACAATGTTAAGTCTCTAATGTTCACATTTCTTCATGACTATGAACACGTTCGTTCTGATTTATATATGTTTGAACAAAGCTTAAACTTAAGTCAACTTCAGTGTATGCATGACTGCAACGTTTTATACATGTATCTAAATACATTCTGCCAGGGCTACTGTCAATTATGCCCAATCGGACATTTTGTACCTATCTGACACCAACTGAGGGTACCTGTGTAGGGTCGGGTACATGGGTTGTAAATTTGGACTCATCCCAGCCCTATTAGAAATTCTTTATTGCAATACATGCGATACATTAAATTACATGTTATATTGCAATTGCAGTAAAAACAAGTAAATAATAACAGAAACTGTTCACCATCCAGCTTACACAGATTATCTAGTAATTCCTGGTTGGCTATAAATGACAGTCGCAGTGCCGTCTAGCCTATATTTTTCTGCCCTAAAACATCCCATATTTGATATCAGAAATATAAAAACAAATGATTTAGGGTTGTGATTCTCCACCAAAAAAGAAGGAATATCAAGTTACAAAAGAAAAGTATGTATCGGGACACGATTCGTATCGGACTCATAGTCATGATAGTATCGGGATATGTATCGTATCGCTAGCCCACCGTATCATTACTAGTGGTCGGACAATACATCAGCGGATCGCAGTTTTTTACTTTTTGATACAAGTATCAATCACAGTCGCACATAAGTAAAAACCATCAATTCATACCTTAAATGTTTGCAATAATAAATGTTACATCAAATACTAATTAATAATGAAAATTAGTAGTGAAAACAAACAGTTTCATCCATTCGGTCATATTTAACACTGCCAACTGAAAATTGTCAGGTATTTGGCAATCCCAACTTTGAAAAAGATGGCTTATGCATCACAGATAAGAGCACAAGTATCAGAATACGTATTGGATCATGAGCAATGTTTTGTGATACATATCAGATCGCACAGTTGGTGTATCGTCCCAGCCTATATCATTACATCTCTACCAACCATCACCATATTCCTGAGGCCAGAGACTACAGTCTAGGGACTCGTAAATTCAGACACCTTCTTTTCCACAGTACACATATGAAAAGGACTTTCCTTCAAAACAGTGATCTATTAATCAGGAAATCTGGACATTTAATTAGAAATAGTACTGTCCAGATTAACAGGTTCCACTGTACAGAGATATGAGAGAAAGAACTACAGTCTTTGCTAAAACATATTCAGTCTACTACTAGTATTAACCAATACTTGGACTCATTTTTAGTTTTTAGTGCTAGACGTATAAATATATGGACTCTCATTGTCAGAAATTATCAGCTAAACAAGACTAATATGAATTTGTCATGATGAAATTATGAATTGGAACAATACCTCATTCTTTTCAGCATTACCAGATTAGCACCTCTACATAATTAAGCTGACTGTCAGAGAACCTCAGGAATTCTCACCCCCAACTCCCTAACTTTTCTATGTGACATTTTTTAAAACTGTCCCTCTAAAAAGAACACGCAAATATGTCAACCATGAACAAGCTTGAAAACCAGACTCTGATTAAACTTGATATTATGTTTGTGTTATGCAGATATCAAGGTTGAAAATCGTACGACAACAAGACGTTGGGATTTTACACAGACAGTGTTTGTGGGCCCCCAACGTGTTGCCACAATGTTACGAGATTCCAAACATGGGGACACCCCTGGCCTGGCGTGGGTGTTGTGTGTGCAAATAGTCACCGGTTCGCTCTTTCCGCAACGCAGGTCTGCACCAAACAGGTTGCACGTTTACATTTGTATCAGCTATCTCCACAGTGCTAATCTCTTAGGAAAATCAAATTATCCATTGTACATGAGAAAATGCAGGAAAGGAAAATTTAACTTGATGTCAAAAATGGTGAATCTACCATGGAAATCCCAGTCAAACTACCTCATGATATACATGACACATATAGTCAGATGTTTTCAAATACGGTACTTATAATGTTGAAAGTGTTACTTTTTTTCAAAATTATAATTTTTCCTTTAACCATTGTTAACCATACATGCTACAAAGATTTGTTCAAAATGCTGAAACAGCATCAAATGTAATATAGCCATGTGAGATTTTTTATTACATTCCAATAATTGTCTATCATCAATATACAACTTAAGATAAGATCTAAATTTTTAAAGAAATAACTTTTACCAGAAATATGTGAATCTTGTAAACATATGAAAATGAATAAGTTAATATTAATTCAGCATGTTTAGGTAAATTTCTTTCCTTCATCATTTCATATTTCACATGCTTAAGTAACATTTTCAAATAAAGCATTATATTTTTTCGTTTGGTTTACAAGGATGGCCAACAACAACCTGACATTGATAATATAATCCTATTACTTTTGACATAAGTTCTTTTGAAATTTACATTAGATGAAATGAATAAATGTTATCACCACTTTTCGTAAGAAATGGTGAATAATACGTATAAAATAATAAAAATCTTTATTCCAACAAAAAAACACCAACAATCAATTATCTTTTTGCATTGCTGATGGTGTGACCTAAGAGGTATTATTTCATTCATTAATATCAATACAAATCTGGAAGTTGATTTTTTTATCCACCACCAACATTGAATTTTAAACTAATGAAAAAAAGGCCTAAGTATGTCATGATAACTGTTGGATAACACACTAAATATATAAAAAAAAACAGTCTTGAGAATACATTGA